TTGGGGAGAGAGGGGGAAGAGTTTCCAAACTTAGGTGGATGACGTGGATAAGTATTTGAAAACTCCAAAATTAAAATAAATTGAAATTGAATCAATCATGCAAACTTTCCTAATTTGGAATTCCAAATTTGGAAAGAATTCAAAATTTGAATTCTAAATTTCAAAATCACATGGGATGAGGGAGGGGAGTTGGCCGGAAGGGGAGGGGCGGCGGGAGGTGGTCGGCCGGGATGGTGGAGGTGGCCGGCGGCAAGATCCAAGGTGGGGGAACCGGCGGCTAGGGTTTGGGGAGAGAGGATTTTGAGGAGCTTATAATGAGAGAGAGAAGGTGAACGAATAAACACAAAATAAACTAGATAACTCACCAAGAGATCTCAAAGGAATAACTCACTAAGAGATCTTATCATGCACTCACAAAGAGAACAAAAGGGAGTAATTTTCATTTCATTCATCAATAATTCAAAATACAAAGACCAAGCCTTTATATAGGCTCAACAAGCATACGGAAAATAAAAGACTACAATGCCCTTGGGCAACATCAAACACTACTTCCCTCATAGGGGTACAAAAGGAAAAGACAAGAAATATAAATGACATGAATTAAATAAAACATCAAAAATAAAGACTCTGAATCATGGCCGTCGAACGGTGCCTCCGACGATGGTACACATGTCGAAATCGGATGTCCCCATCACTTGTTCACTTTTTACAGACTTTTACATATTGAGGATTTCCTTGATTGAATTCACATATAGAATTTTTTTCAATTTTTTGGAAATTCAACAAACTATCTAACCAAGTTGGTGGTACATAATTTGAAAGGAAAAAACTTAGCATCGTGGGAACAAATGCAATTAAACCACCAATGAAAAAGAAGATAATGAATTCTCAAGAGGATAAAAAGATGAAATATTTGCTACAACAGTGCTTTCATTTTCCTCACTACGAAAAATTCCTATATAAAAAAATCAGCATTATCAACAAGCAAAATGAGGAGTCCAAATATTAGTTTTAAGGTTACTGTTTAAATAATTATAATATTGTTCACCTAACTAATGCGTTGTAGCATTCCAATACCTTTTTCCACTTATCTATGATTACAGCCAAAGATGGAAGCATTATAAGACTGTGATGGTTAGCATCAAATGTTATAATAATTATACTACTTACATAATAAAACCATAAGCATTAATGCACTGATCATTTATTTCATTCCTTCATTGCTCCGGTCACAAACAAATATTGTATAGTGAGAGAACCAAAGGTAAAGGAGAGGTTGGAGCTGGGTTTTGAGGAGAAATATTAGGATTATTGTGATGTTCTAACGAATCTACTGTGATATAAATTGTACTCAAATTTTCAAAAAGATGAGATGAAAATTTCTCCTAAAATCACAACCCACTTTTTGCATGTTTCAATATTTTTTAATTATTTCATGAAATTCAACATTTTATTCTGATTGTTTAGATATACAGAATAATATATAAATAATTACGCATAATGGTACTTATAAATTTAAATTAGATAATAATTTTTTTTTAAGGTTTTAATAAAATGGTGCAGCAAATTAATCTAGTAGAGCAATTTCAGCTTTTCCCCGCATTCAGGCAATAGGTGCTAGTGGATTTACAATGAGTATTATATTTAATTAAATTTTTAACGCTTATCTACTAATAATCACCCAAACCTAATAATCTAAGATAGTGTAATGTTTATCCCTGTAAAACCCAAATTTGATCAAATATACGGGACATTTTGATCAATTTAAAAATACCTTGAAATCCCAACTTTCACGAAATTATGCAAATTTAATGTCATCATATTCTATATGTTGAATGAAGCAATTTTACATACAAAACTATTTGTCAAATTGCGTAGAATTGGAATTAGGGAATTAAATCCCATTTGCATTTTTTCATTAGTTTAAAAAAAAAAAGAGATTACTGTTTAAATAAATATTTTACTGTAGGTAGGGTGGAATAGGTGGCTTGCATGCAAATTGCAAGGCTTTGGGAAGGGGTAGTTGAGGCATTTCAAATGCCTTAGGTTATTTTAATTCCATTTCATTCCCTACCATCAAAATGGCTCATTCCTTCGCTTGCTCTTGAGTGTGAAGGATGGAGTGCTAGATTCGCTGGGAGACGGAGCTCGGGTAGGAGCGGGTGTGCTGGAGGATGGGTAGGTGCAGGGTGTGCTGTTGGCCGGTTGAAGTAGGGAGAAGTATGGTGTAGGGAAGGGAGGGGGAAGAAGTAGGAAGAAGAAATCTAAGAAGTTAGGGAGAAGAGTAAGGGAATTAGGGAAGAAGAAAGAAGAATCAGGGGAGGAAGAACAGAAAAAGAGAAAAGAAGTAAAAATTTTATTTTGTGCCTATAGGAAGAAAGAAAAATTTTATTTTGTGCATATTTGACATTTCTAATTTAACAGTGTTCAATTATCGATTGGGACATTCGTATGCGACGTGAAAATATTATAAGCAAATGGCTACATATCTTAGAAGGTATGTTCAAGCTCCAAAATACTTATATGTGGGTGATTTCGAGCATATTATGCCACCACAAAGCCATTAATACCTCCCTGGAAACATACGTAGTTACAAAAATGGATGTTTGGCGGAGATTGATCCGTAGCATTGCTTTGGGTGAATGGAATATAATCTATAAGCAGATGGCCGATTATGGTTTAAGAAAGGAGCTACCATGTCTGAACAATGATAGACTATAGAATTCTAACCAAAAAAACAATAACGTAAACTGAAACATATAGAAGTAAGAAAGCCTCAAACCTGCAAACTGAAATCACCTCCATCAAACGAAAACTTCTCCAGAGAACAAAGACATAGTTCTAAAGATTTCTGGGCGATCGCTACAAGCAACAAATCCTGTTGCTCAACTGTTCAAAAGCAAATGAAAATATCTTTAGTAAATTTCCCTAAGCTAATCTTGCTTCGAACCAAATATTTCAGGTAACATTGGCGAAGCCACACCTGAGATGGAAAGGCTTGCTGCGACGATCACCTCGGCCACCGATATGACGGCTTCGATCTGTGGCCGACTCCAGCTCTGCAAGACCAAACGACCTTGATCGGCGACTCTGATTCCCTCTTCCAGTATAGAAAGGATTGCTTTCAGGCCTGGCCGCGCAGCACCAGAGAGCAACTTCTGAGAAAACCTTGGGGGCCTCGTCTCGCTAAGGATCTCGAGGAGCCTGGTGATTTCCGCCATGGAGAAAGATCGATCAGAACATACAGAGCGGCGATATCAGTCCCTGGGAGGGTTTTGTACAGAACCGTGGCTGTGACTGTGCCAGGAGAAATGGAGAGAAAGGGGGAAACGACAGTTCGAAGAGAAATTCTTCACCGCGACCTTTATACATCATCTAAGTCGGTTGGCTTTTAGCCCAAGAAGCCATGGTATTTTTTATATATGTTAATTTAATTTAATTTAATTTTTTTGCATATTTACTTAATCCACATAGAATTAGGCTTCGTTCGGGACGACTTTTTTATTGCTTTTTAAAACGAAATTTTAGTAGAAAATAAAAAATTTTGTACTAAAACTCCATTTTAGAAATTAATAAAAAACTGTCCCAAACGAAGCCATAGGGTAGTCGGTGGGCAAGCAAGATTGAGAACCCTCATCCTAGTTTTGAATACCCCCTACTAATGCTTCGCCTCTTCAGAAGGAAGTGTAGACCCAATGCCGGTGGGTGGCCTCGCTAAGTTTCGCTGAAGGATTAGTTATGCCGCCAAACGCTCCATTTGGAGTGGCAGCGAATAGATACCCTATTCAAAAAAAATTATTTATTTAAAAATTGTTTACATGTTTTATATTTTAAAAAAAAAACATTTAATATTTAAAAATATGTACAATGATTTTGTTCTATTTTTAGTATTTTTTTAAAAACAACTAATATATATATATATTATGTCAAAATATAAATAAAATAGAATAAAATAAAAAGAAATTATAAAAGATCCCAAGGAGTACCTTTTTTCTCCAACAAATGGAATCATCCATTACTAAATTATAAATTTGATGAAAATAAATGTTTTAATGGTTTTTTTTTAACAAACACAATTATATTGAAGTAAAAAGAAAGTTACACGAAGAGAAACAAACATGAGAGGAATAAAATTTTACTTCCCAAAGGCAAAAGATGAAGGGATACACATGAAAAGCACCCCAAATCAAGCCACGAACAAAAACAAAAGAAAAAGAAACCCCTCAAATGAGGAGGAGGACTCTTTCATTAGTTTGCATTATGAAAAAAATAATAATACAAACCAATGACAAGAGATCACTCATTCAGCACTTAAGGGGCCCAAATCCCCGCCTGTGAAATCTGTTGAAATCTTCTTCCTCTTCCTAGGGGAGGTGTCCAAAGCACATACAGGCCCAAGTCGAAGGAGCTCAATATAGAAGCGAGACTTGGAAACTCTTCTTGTTGATTGCGAAAGTTCACAATCCTATTAGAAGTATCTTTCATTTGTTGTAACTTCTCGGCCAAAAAAAAAAAAGGATAGGGGGATCGGCTGGTGGACAAGTGCCATGATCTTTAGGAGCCCTCGATTTTCCTTTTCTTCTCTGGGTGACTAGGTTCCAAGCTCCAAGGGAGGATTATTCCTTGTTCTCATTAAGAGAAGCCTCTTCAACAGCAATATGCTTCGACTCCATAGGAGGGGAGGGTGCTTGGGTAGCATTCTCGGTTGTGGCGTGCACCTTGGTTAGCGGCGACGATTGCATTGGGGGGGATTGAGGAGCACAGGTTGGAGCCTTGGAAAGGCAAGCAGCATTGACATGCCCAATTAGACACAGTCGAAGCAAAAAAGTTTGTAAGCCCTTCATATTCGACTTTTTGAAAAAATAATCCACGGAGCCCATTGATCCAAACCCCAACTTGAAGCTTTTGAGAGAGATAAATCCTAACACAAATCCTTGCATAGGATAATCTTCTCCAAGTACTCGTATGTGAGTCCATCCACAAAGGTTCTCCAAGCATATTGGCAAGTCGAGTGATGTTGTTCTTATCCCAGTACATGAGAGGAAAATGTGAAAGACATGTCCAAATGGGAGAGTGAAGCCCATGAAGAGAATCAAGAGAAGAGGTAGGAGACCACTTGTCCATACCAATGATGTTCCCTCCTATGATCCACGACCCACTCATGAGCAATTCATCCCTATCCTCTATGCTTTGGAAAAATATATATATAAGAGTTTGGAGCTATAGTAATAATGTTGAATTCCACAAAATGATACTACCTATGTTTTAGTTCACCAAGAAGGAAGGGAGATGCAACCCTCCTTCCCATGAGCTTAGCCACCAATGCTCTATCCAATTTAGCAATATTTTCATGCACAGCTTCCACTTCCGGCTCCATGGACATGCCATCTTTGGCTAAGAAGCCTTCACTTGGCATTTTATCCAACTTCGTGAATTGGAGTCGGGGCACTCGGCGACATTAACACAAACACTTGGAGGGTGCATTCCATTGGCAAAATGTTGAATGGGGGAGGAATCCATGGGATTTACACGCCTGCATATGGGTGACTTCTCCACAGACAATCCTTAATAGGAGCCAACTGGACGCATTTGGCCGTCCCAGCTTGCAGGGAGGGAGCGGAGCAACCGGGAGGAGGATCGAGTTGCCTAACCAACCCCATTGAATCATCTGATCGATCCTCAACGTGCTGATCATCTTCCATTTCGGAATTCAGATCACAGACAACATCCGACTCCTCTATCTCGTCTTCATGCTCGTCTGATTCGCCACCGGAGCTGCAATCGCTCGGAGTAACTGAAACAATTGAATGGCTGGGCTAGGTGAGTTGAACATCCGCATCATGCAAAGGGATCGCACCTTGCGTGGACTGACTGGGTTGTGCAGGTTCGCGACCTGAATGATGAACGGGCTGAGATATCTCACCTTGCGAGCAGACGGAATCCATAGAGGTGGGCTTAATGCTACCATCTTGTCGATTGACATAGTTGGTAGGACCTTGCGAGCATTGAAGCTACATCTTCTTGCCCGCCTCCTCCTTACCTCGTCGAATAATGTCTTGAGATTTTGCCACCACCTCATTCCAAGAATCCCTATAAACAGGATCCTGAGCCTTAGGAGGTGCCAATAGTTGTTTTGCCAGTAGTCCCGCCTACCTCCGCCTCTTCCCCCATTTGGAGGAGATGACCTAAGGCCACCCCCTCTAGCCATCCTAGAGCTTCTCTATCTAAAAAAGCTATAGAGATAGAAGGAAGAGATGAGATGAGAGAGGAGTGATATATGTGGGCCTATAAGATTTGTTTTGATAATTATAAAGCTATATTCTTATGTCTACAAACATATTATGCTGCTATAAATATAAAAGAGAGTTATAAGAGGCCAAAATCTTTTGAGATTTTGTCTGAGATCAAGATATTTGATATGAATTATTATGTGATATGATTTGAAATTCAATTTATTTATCTAGCTAAGTATAGGGCTATTAATTCGGGTTTTCAGGTCGGATTCAGGTCGAACCCAAACTAACCTGAAGCTAAACGGGTTGACCTGAACCCAACCTGTTTAGTTAGTCTGGTCCACTTGGTAAACGGGTTGACCTAAACATGGGTCAGGTTGACCTTACCCGCCAACCCAAATAAAAAAATAGAGATATTAACTAAATTAATAAATTCAAAATGCAATGAAATAATAATTGTATATAATTAAATTTTAATTAATTTATCAAATTTAAAAATATAAAAAAAAAAACTACAATAGTCGCTCTAGCTGTTACATTTATAATCTCTTTGATAATTGATACATTACAAAATACAATTTACAAATATTGTTCCTCAAGTAGTTAGCTTCTTTGTCATTCACTCATTCATCTAATCTGAATTTTGAATAATGAACATCTTAGCAGTCAGCATAATCAATGAACCTGCAACAAAAAATAATTAAAAGCCACAAGCTGAAGGAGTCAACTCAGTCAAGGTCTTGAATGCGTTAGGGCTCACCAACTCAGGTCTTACGCTCAAAATGAACCTAGTGAAAATTGAAGAAACATCATCTGCAAGTCTGCAACAATTTTAAAAATTTGCTCTCCAAGATTATAAATTGGGAATACATATTTTATATTTTTAGTATCTATTCAGTGAAATAATATATGCTCAAATCAAATAAATATTATTTCCTCAATTTGTAACATGGTTGTAAAATATTTTTATTTGTTTATTGCAACTATTCTATAAATTCATAAAGTTCTTCATCATTGCCATATTATAAAAAAAAAAAAACTGCCATCAACATTGAACAGAATTTCATAAGACAATATCAAATGAGCAACTAGAAAATGCAAGCTGCACTACTGCAGGCTTGCAGTCGAATATTTAAGTGGCAGACAATTAGACAAGTGTTGTCATCATAGTGATAATGCCACAAAACATTAAACCTGAATTATAATGTCCAGAAATAAAGTCACATAATCATAGTGATAATGTCCAAAAGAAAACTATCCAGCAGGACCATCACAATGCCACAATGTCCAGCACGATGTCTAGAGAAAACAACAAGGCAACCATAAAAATACATAGTAACAAAACATGAAACAAAAGCCCACAACCAGGTCCAGAAGCTGCTGCTGCACAGTGCACAACAGTCATAGCTGCTATCATGGCAACAACAACAACAAGAGCAACCATCCATTAGAAGTTCAGAAAAGTATTTGTAACAAGACAGGAAAAGAAAGCCCAAAGCCAGAAGTAGCTGCTGCACAATAGCTGCTCATTTCAGTCAATACAGATGCAAAATTTGAACTAACATTAGTTTTTAGGCTGCTTAATTTACTGACACATTCACATCTCCCATTTGATTTATCTCCAAATCTAAGCCAATAATGTTTTATGTCATGACATCAAGCTCCGTGTCTTTTATATATATTAACAAAACAACAATTTAGTTGAAATATAAATTTTTAAAAAAATTGAACCATCCATGTAGTGTGTAGTATGACAAATTAATTACCTTGATCACTGTACATCCAATCTTTTGTACAAACCAATGCTTCTACAATATCATGTTTCAACGCACTTTTATATTGGTCTAGAAGTCTACCATCATTGCTAAAAGCACTTTCCTATATAACAGTAGAGATTGGAATGCACAAAACATCAACAGACATTATTGAGACCTGAGGAAATCTGAATCGATTTACTTTTCAATATTGCAAAATGTCTAACTCACTATTCCTATCCAGCTTTGGTTCATCCAAATACATCTCAAGCTCTGATTTTCTTGGCATAGTTACCTCCACCTCGAATGAATCAAAATCCTATATTATTTGTTTTAGTTATGTTTGATAAGTTGACATAACATAATATGCTAATAGAATGTAAGATGCGGAATTATACCTACATAAATTGTGATTAAATGATGTAGTTGAATGACTACTTGATGGAGTTTCTCATAAAGCTTGAGATGATTGAGATACAGTGGTTGTTGATGGTTGGTCTTCTACGATTGAATATGATGAATAAAGAGTGGACAACTTATCCTTAATAACAGAGGAATCTATCTCCTTCAAACCTTCATGCACTATAAGATTTACTATATATGCGCAACATCACATATGGAAGAATTCACCATTGCATATAAGTGTATTTTGCAAATTCAAATGATTTCGCAAAAAATCAACTGATACAATATAGTTGAAGCATTATCTAAAGTAATGTTAAAATGCTTACTATCAAGTTTCCAATCAATCAAAAGCTGTTGAAGTTTCTCAAATAATGCTAAGCCATTATGAGGGGGTGTCATAAAATCAAAACTTATAATCTTCTTATATAACAACCAATTATTGTCAATAAAATGTGTAGTCAAGCAAATAAAACCATCAATATTAATGGAAGTCCACAAATCAGAAGTTAAAGATACTCTACTTTTACAACTACATAGAAGGGCTTGTATATGTGCTTTCTCCTTAATGAACATTTTCTTACAGCATTTCGTGCAGTATTTCTAGATACAATCTGCAAATCATGACGCAAGTATCTAAGTAATGATCTAACACCAGACCATTCCACACACTGAAAATGTAGGTCATGCATAACTATGCATGCATTAAACAAGCTACGGAATTCATGATAATCAAACTTATTTTCAACCATAGAAATAGAAGTTCTTGTGTTACTTTGAAGAATAAGTTGATCAATATCATGGGAGTCCCGCTTCTTACAGTTATGAATGTAACGTCTCAGATTACTTGTATCATTTTTACTATCAGACAGGTAAGTGGCCCCACATTTCTTACATTTGCAACATTGTTTTCCATCTTTACCAAGTGGCAACATTTCATAGTGTCCACAAACATTAAAGGTCAACCTCTTATTTTTTTTCCCTTCATTTCGAATTGCATTATCACCAACCTCACCCACATTCACATTGTTATACTCATCACTGTCACATTCTACGTCATTATCAATAGGCTCTTGCTCATTTTGCTCGGAAGAATTACTGTCAACATCTGTATTAGAACCCTTTATCTAAACACAAAAAAATGCACACATTTACCAAATATTTAAATATTTATTCACCAAACACATAATCTACTACACAAGTAATAGTATTAGTTTAGTAAAAAACTAATAATTTAATATGGTACATCAAAAATATTGTAGTTTAGAATTGAAATAGAACTATGTACTAGCAGTCTAGCACAATAACATTAGAGCGGCTTTATAATTTGACAACAAATAACATGGAAACAGAACCACATTAGTACACTAACACATTCTCAAATGCTCAAAGCCTAACTGGATTACTATCACAGGCCGATCATATATTCATGATTCGTAATGGAAAAAGAAAAATGAAATCAATTTAACACCAATAGTCCAAGTCCAACATAATAACTTAATAAATCACAAATTTACACTAAACATGAGTATTTCAGTATTTCTATAATGGCAAAAGAAAAATAAAAACCTAATCTCTCGAGTCCTGACCTAGTGAGCCGCAGACGGCAGGCCGAGTGGCTAACATATTAGATGTCAAAACTCAAAAGACTCAAAAGTTAAAACTCAAGAATATGATAAACAACAAGATTGCAAGTCTGCAATGGTTCAGTTGCCAGTTGGTGGTAGACACAAAAACAACAAACCCTAATCTACAAATGTTGAAATGCATTTCAACTTCACTTTAAAATCCAGACTGATAAAGTGTGAAATAAAGGAAGAGTAGATCAGAAACCGAAAGGTTCGAAACTCAGCAAATGACTTCTAAAAAAATTGAAACCAAATTTATTTATGAATCTTGAGTTTACTGATTACAGTCTTACAGACCATGGTCGAAGGACGGAAGGTACGAACTGCGAACCTGTGAGGCTATGAGCTGCGGCCTGGAGGAAGTAAGACTGCGAGAGAACTGAGAAAGACTGAAAGAGAAAGTGAGAAACCCTTACTAAAAAACCCTAAAATGACAGCCCTCCGATGATCTGCTCGACGACTCGAGTCGCTAAAGCCTAAAGGCTTGTTAAGTTTTTAAAAAACCTTAATGCGAGTCGGTAACGTGGGTCAGCATCGGTTTAACGGGTTGACCCGAACTCGACCCGATTGCTATACAAGTCTATAATTTACACCCGAACTCGACCCGTTTCTTTAACGGGTTGACCCGAACCCGATTTTTTCAGGTCGGGTCAGTTCTTGACAACCCTAGTTAAGTATTATTATTTAATTAAATTGAATAAATGTTATGCTCTTATTACCTTTTCAGTGCAGTGGTTGAACAACTATAAAATGTAAAGCAAAAAAAAAAAAACTAACTTTCAATAACTGTTTGTCATATGTATCTCCAAGATTTGTTCTCAAACCATCTCTCTCCAATAAGGACGTGACATTTGTAACTGTCCAAACTCTTAACTATTGAGATATTGCTTGCTTTGGCCTAACAACCTCACAGTTTTGTTCTGTTGGTGTAATCATATTTGAAAAAAAAAAAATCAAATACGGTCTCTATATTCTTGCTTAATTATATTGACTATTTTGTGAGGTATCATCCTGAATGAATTAAAATGAGCATCATTTTGAATATCAATTGTATAATTGCAGATATTGTGGGAGATATGTTCAATAAGGTTGATAGTAAACTGATTTTGCAGATATTTGAGATTATGAAACCGCTCAGGGTTCAATTATGACATATTTTCAAATGCCTTTAACTTATATAAAAAATGAAATCACAAAAAAATTTGAATTATTCTTACAAGTTAAAATAATTTAGATATCTCAATTAATAATTGGAAATTAAATAATAATTAATATTGCCTATGGAGGATAGGTATTGGTTATGTGGCAAAGGATGATGGTTGAAAATTTCACTATATTTTCCCTATAATGCCCAAATTTGAGAGGTATATTCATTGTTTGATTTTTTGAAGAAAATTTTCAAAAAAAATTATTTTGACCAAAATACCCTTAGGATTTGAAGGGATGCTTGAGTATTATATAAGTGAATTTTGGAGAAAGAAGTTACTTGAACCATCCTATATTTATCATCTTATTCGGATTCAATGATTGTTATTGGTAAGTAATGGTTACCGAGTGAAGTCCTATCTCTATCTCCAACTAGCCGTTCAAGGTTATATTATACATTTTGGTAAATTTCTATATTTCACAATGTTCTACATTTGCACTCTAACCATTAAACTTAGAAGAAAATTAGGCAATATTCAGTCTATGATGGAACATTAATCAACCAACAAATACAAAGTTGGTTAAGAATTGAGCAACATTTGAGCAAAATTTAATTTTATTATTTCACACTCACTCTCACTTTGGTCATTGTACTCAAATTGTTACAGCAAGAATGCTATAGCTACTTTAATTTAATGTGACATTTATCATTATGATTTTATGTTATATTGTGTCTACTTTATAATAAATTATGTTATAACAATTTAGATTGAGATATTATTTAATAATGTCCAAAAAATTTACAAACATGTATGAACTTTATTTGAATACTATAGGACCTGTATTTGAATCAAATCCCATTATATTTGAGTATGAATTGAAAAATTATTGCATATGATCTAAATTTTAATAAATTCTTATTCGAATCACATTTGAATCAATTTTGATTGCGACAAACTTAAAAGAGTAGTATGGAGTCATTGCCAGAGTTATTTTGGTCATGAGGAAAATTTTAGGTGTATTTTAAAAGAAAATAAATAAAGAGCATGTTTTTTTTTTCAAATTTTATTGTTAAAGTGAGTATAAAAGTCACATATCCTAATTAAATAATGAAACTTCATATGGGCTGAGCTCTCATTTATGTGAAGCATTTGATAAAAAAAATTAGATAAATAATTATTAATTGATCAATCATCACTCCCCAACAAATCTATTCAATCTAAACCTATGTTTAAATTCTCAAGACCACACTCAAGGGACTGAAAATAAATTGTATATAGTTTTAAAATAAAGTATATAATAATAATAATAAAAATAATAATAAATTTTTATCTCATTATATGGGATCAATTATATGAATTATTTTTGGTCAATGTGTTCATTTAAATAATAGATATGTGGATACTTTTGATATATGCATTTAAATAAAAAAAAATATTTATTAAATTTTGAATAAACTAAAGGAAGAAGATGAAGTTCACATTCCTGAAGTCCTTTAATACTGCTTTTATTGTGTCGCTCGGGCTCCCGCAGCGTCGCAGCGGCTTTGCTTCCACCTCCGCTTTCTAAAAATCTCTTTCTCTTCCGACGTAGGGCGAGTTTCGATACCTAGGTCCTTGCTTGATGCCCTAGCCCTTGTATCGGATTCGATGTGGAAACGGAGGTTTCGACGCGGTCTTTGCCTCCCAGTTTTGATCTGAGAAGGGAGGAGTGAAGAAGATGGGGGGCGTGACTTCAGCGATGGCGGCTAAGTTTGCCTTCTTCCCACCGAGTCCGCCGTCGTACGGCGTGGTGGTGGAGGATGAGCAGGCAGGGCGGCTGGTAATGACTGGGGTACCGAGGAGGGCCAACGTCGAGGTATGGCGGCTGCGCACGAGAAGGGGGAACGAAATCATTGCCATGTACGTGAGGAACCCGTCGGCCGTGCTCACACTTCTATATTCTCACGGCAATGCAGCGGACCTCGGTCAGCTCTATGATCTATTGACCGAATTGAGCGTTCATCTCCGTGTCAACGTGATGGGGTGAACTCTTTTATAAGCTTTTAAATTTCGTATTATTATTATTTTCTTAAAGTTGTTTAAACTTAAACTATTTCGCTCTATGATCTGTCTTTTTTTCTAACCCCTATTTATTTCCTCTTGAAAATTCAGTATTATACATAGCACAACATGATTGTCAACGCTTATGCAGTCATAACTCGACGTATTATATCATGTTCATGCCCCATTTATACTTTATTTCATGCTTATTTTATAGTGGTCGATCTTTATTTAGTCATGGGTATGCTAGTTTTTGTGTCATGAATCCTTAGTCTTTGTAAAGGTATTAAAGGCTTGTATCTTCCATCATATGACATTTTGATTGAATGTCGAAGCTAGATTGCTTGATACTCTCCGAAAGCTCGATTTTTTCTTTTGATCTCCTTTTTTCCTTGGTTTCTCTCTTATGGCTTGGTGCAATCTATCCCTCTCATTCTTTTGCCTCTCTACCTAGACTGATTATTTTCTCTCTGTTAAGATGTCATCAAGATCAAATAGTTATGCTTCCTCATTATGGTATCAGAGTTGAATTCCCACAATCACCTATTTTATTGATATCTGCCTTGATATTCTTGCCTCTATCATTTGGAATTCATGCCAAACCCAAAAAAACTCTATCCATAAATTTTCTTTGTTATGATTGACTACCCCCTTCCTTTAGCATACTGAAAACCATTCTTCATGAAATTAGGATTAAAAGATTTCCAACCCTTTAAAAACTCCACATCACCTTTAGTCCTTCATGCATCCCTGTATAGCCAAAATTCTCCTTTTAGTTTTCCTCTAAGTTTCCCCTACCTTTTTCCTCTCTTCCTTTTCTCTCAATCATGACCCCTCTCTCCTTTCTCTTATGCTACTCTTCTCCTTCCCCTTCCTTTCAAGCTCATTTCCATTAAAAGATAAGATTAAGATGAACACGTATCAACTCAGTTACAACTATCACTAGGTATTGAAACACTAGTGGCTTGCTTCTAAAATTATCACAAGAATTTTCATTCATATGTCTTCATGATCCTAAACCCTCCATCTTAAATTTACCCATAACTTAATTACCCTAACTATCACCCTCTTTACTATGGCATTATAACACACATAAATCAAAATATGATATCCATGATGATTGTGATGATGCTTATTATCATTAAAATCCGCATCCTAGTTCATGTTATCTGCATATCTATCATAATTTATGATCAACACCCTTCTCCTGATGATTTGGATGAATCATACTTGTTATTTGTTTGAGAGCATTATTGTTATCTATATGATCATGCATTTCCTCATCATTCATGTTATCATTATTGTACCATTATGTTTGACCAATTACCTCACTAGTTGTCTTATTCATCCTATTCTTAAACAGATGTTCTTAACACTCCAGACAATGATGATTCAGTTATTTGTTGCACAACCATAAATATTACATTGCCCAAACAATACACTCCTCCATATGTAGATTCTACAAACTCCACTTGCTCAACAATCCTATTCATTTGCACAATTCACCTATTCCATTGGCCCTTCCGACCCAAAAAGCCCAACATACCTCATTAAGCCCACCAATCTCACTAGATCAACTTACCTTTGTTGAGGAGGAGGATGATTAATCACTTGTGCTTGAGCTTAAGCCTGATATTGTAATTGAGCTTGAGTTTGATTTATCCTAGCCCAAGTCATCCATTGACTGAGCATGAGTACGAGATCATGCTAGATCATGATATTGGCACTCTGATACCCTCATTTATTTTGTTCCATTACCCCTTAGTTTGGTCACCAGATGTTCCTTAGCTGCCACAACTATTTATTGCTCTATTAGTAATCATAGTGATTGATTTAGTGCAATACCATTGTTGTTACAACCAAACTATTATTGGACCATTGCCAACTTTAACGACCAAGTACACTTGCACTAGATTTGAAGCCTTTAGATCATCCAACTGTTGCTGAGTCATTTATAGTTATTTAGGTTCGTGATGCTGGGTTTCAACATACTCCATGACCTCCAAACCACATTGCTTGTTTGATTCTTAGTGTACTGAGAAAAGGTGCACGAGCCTTCCCAATTTAAAACCTTTTAATGAGTCTTAACTTTGATACCAAGCTATGAACATCATCACCTTGACAAATAAACCCTTTCCACAAAATGGAATTCATATCATTGTAATCTTCAATGAAACTAGTAATTTTCAATTATGAGTATCCTTTATGTAATGATTGAAATGATAAAAAATGACTATAGAATACCCTAGAAGAAGCATATTCAAAATTTTTTTACCACCATTGGGAAAGAGATTTTCATAATATAGGAGCGAAAAAAAGTGAGACAAAAAAACTGTCAAGCGCACTAAAAATCCACTCTCTCTATTGTTAGACCTCATGAATCTATGACCCAACAAAGGAAGGCCAATCAAGTTGAAGAAGTGGATGAAATCAACAGAGATTTGCAGGCAATCTACTACTATCCGAAGGTCTATACTTCAAATTAGTGATATTTTTGCAATCCACACAAATAATTCATTTGGAGTACCATTTAGCATCAATACAATATAATAAAATTTCAGAGGAGAAACTTTATCATAATTTTTAGGAGCATATACAATGGTCTAAATAAAGTCATAATTAGGATTTAACATGCAAAAATGAAGAGATATGGAGTATCTGCTTGTAGATGAAGAAAGAGCTAGCATAGAATTTTTGGTTCCAACCATAGTGAACATGCCTAACAGAGCCACGAGCATTTAAGATAGACATAATTAAATTCTAGTGCTACCAATAGGTCTTAGAACTCCTATATAATGATCCACCAATATAGATTCTTTAAGGTAAATGATAGCAAGCTACTATCTCTGCACCCTTTTTTCAACCATCCAGTCTAAGCTAAAAACATTTCACATTTCAATGTATATCAAAGACAAATACGCTCAATAATGTATGCATATCTGTTGTGTTATTGAACATGATACCTAAGGCCATTGTTGATGTTAAAGCCATATATATTATTACTAAATCACCTTTTTTTTTCCATTCTTTCTACAATGTTTTATAGGTGGATCTGTTGCTTTCCATTATAACGTTCCTCAATGTAGCACTTCATTTTTTATAGATCATTAAAGAAAAGATTTTTTTGGTTTGTTGGAAATGTAGTTTGCATTCTCACTGAAGAAAATTCCCCCCCCAAAAAAAAAAAAAAATACTTTAAATAAAAATTGTGGCGGGTATTTTGGCATGTGCGTGTATGGGCTGGGGGTGCGCAGGAGGGGGCATTGTTGATGATTAACATGAGCATGTAGCGGTGGCACTGTAAATGCAAGTGCAAGATCCTTTAAAGAACTATTTTTTCAGTCGCCACATCATATTCCATTTTCAAGGAGAGGGCGTAGTTATTGATGGAGAATGTGGGAGGTAGTGGTGGCATTGTAGCGTTGTTGTGGCAGATCCTCTTAAGATCTCTCTGTTCATTGCCCACCTTGACATCTTCCATATTCCCAACTACTTTTCTTCTAGGAAAGTAATGTCATTGCCATCTTGAATCTCTTGATAATAATGATTTTCCTGTGAATGTACAAGAACTTTGATATGGTGGGGTTGATGTTCGAAACATTCAAATTGGAATTTGTGAGTTACTAAGAGGATTGAGGATGATCTAGTTATTATGTTCATAAAATTTTTTAGTCATTCAAATTCAAGTAAAAACTTGCCTTATGAGCCAATTTAATGACAAATTTAACGTTCTTAGCAATAATGACCTATACTAAGCTGCTGTTATGTTAGCTGAAATCAATGTTTTTGGAACTATGAAGAATTACTGAAAATTTATGTTGCTGAAATCAGTTGACTATAGTCGAGTTCATTGTGGTAGATAGTGGGAAACAGGAAAGAAAAAATAGGACATTTTGATTGCTTAAGGAGACATTTCTTTGAAGTAAACTTGTAATGTTTTCTTCTTGTGTTTTATTTGAATGCCTATTGAAAGAAAAAAAAATGGTGCTTTAGGTTGTGTATAAGAGAAAAGGGGGTCGAGGTATTGGAGGAGAACATATTTGTAACTAGGTGACATACCCAACTTGTAGTATGAAATGAGAGTATTTTTATATACTTAATGCAATTGTGGTTGATTTCAAGCATGTAGTTCATTTCTAGTGTAACTGAGATAATTAATTGTCATGCGAATTATTTAATAACCACTACATGTTGAAATGTGATGTTATAAAATGATACTATAGATGTAGGTGAGGAGTTGCTTGGGTGTCTTTTTGGCTTCTTTTTCTCTATTTATAGGAGCTGTTTGTGGCAGTTTTAGGAGAGGAAATATAGTGATTTTTGGAAAACAAAACCTAAGGTTAGCTTGCGAGCTAATCTTGTACCTCTCTTCTTCTTCTAATTCATCTTGGTCTTCTAATCTATTTCTTCTATCCATGGTTTATACCCCATTGTATCTTTCTTCTCAAACTATAAAAATTTGTAAGGTGTCGTTATGTCTTGTTTAAATTTGTTTTGTCATGTTTTTTATTGTTGTTCTGTTTATTTAAGTTATTTGAAAAGGAAGCGATTATTTGCATACCTAGTAGGCTTTAGTTTTTTTTTTGGTTGCATCAAATTGATATCAAAGCCTTTGGTTGTCGTTCTAGTCTTCCCTTCTTTAAAAAAAAGAAAAACAAAGGGAAATCATGATCAAGCAAGTAACCTTGAAAACCAAATTCCAATAGGTAAATGAGTCCCATCCCAAGGAATCCCATCCAGAATGAGCTTTACAAAATTCAACATAAAATGCGCTTGTGTACAAAAAAGTACGAGAAGAGAAGGCAACTTCTTTAGGCCCAGTTTAACCAGGAAAGAGAAAAAATTCAAAGAAAGTATGTGACTTTAATTTAGAGTGGATAAGGTTTAGTCAACGCGTAAAAGATGTTCAAATTCGATCTCATTAGGAGATGAGAAATCTCCACCAGGGGAGAATTGATGTAAGCAAACCCCCTCCCTTTTCTCAGTTTTGGTGGCTGTTCGGTTTCTGTGGCTGTCCCGGTTCCCTGGCCTTGGTTGTTCAGTTTCTGTTGCTGTTTCCTGGCTTTTCCGGTTCTCCTGGCCTTGGTTGTTCGGTTCCTGTTGTTGTACCTTGGCTTTCGTGATTTTCTGGCTTGGCTGTTCGGTTCCTGCTGCTGTGCCTTGGCTTTCCCCTATTCTGGTTGGCTATTTTGGGCGGCTGCTTGGGCGTCTTTTGGGCTTCTTTTTCTCTATTTATAGTGATGTTTTGTGGCTGTTTTAAGAGTGTGATATGTGATGACTTTTTTGAAAGTAAAAACCTGAGGGTTTTCTTAGCCTGCGAGCTAGTATCCTATCACCTTCTCCTCTTATAATTCGTCTTGAATTTCTATCTATTTATTATCTCCACAAGTTTACACCCCATTGTATCTTTATTCTCAAACTACAAAAATTTGTAAGGTGTCGTTGTGTCTTGTTTAAGTTTATTTTGTCATATTTTTTATTATTGTTGTGTTTATTTAAGTTATTTGGAAAGGAAGCGATTATTTGCATACTTAGTAGGCTTTAGTTTTTTTTTTTTTGGTTGCATCAAGTTTTAAGTTTTAGAAGAAGCGGAATTAGGATTTGAATCCTAAGACTAAGAGATCATTCATTGATTTTGTGTTCCAACGAATAAGTAATTTGATAAACTCCCTACAACTTTGGGGTTGAAGGAAGGATATGTAACTTGAGAGTTACAAAATTTTATGAATATTATTTGAATATTTGGTATTCAAAGAGAGAGGATCATTCACCTAGTTTAGATTATGTGAATGTAGAAGGAAGACTAGGACTTAGTTCCGAAGCCTAAGCGTGATGTTCAATCGTTAACTTTAGGTTCAAATAAATTGGAAGAAAGAACTTAGAGTTTGGTTTTAAGTTCAAAAAGCTATGACATGATGTATTTAGGATTTTAAAGAGATCCATAACACAATGCATGAAGAAGATGGGTGATAGCTCCTAAGATAGGCTAGGAGACATGCAATGAAGTATTTGAAACTTTGAAGTGGCTTCAAAGGTCATGCACGAAAGGGAAAGAAATTTTTTTGTTGATTTTGTCTCAACAATCAAGAGGTGTGTGACTTAGAATTTGTTTCTAAGATTTAACCATCATGTAATGATATTGGTCGGAGCTCTTGGAGGCTCCAAATTAGCATACATGGAAGGATATGTGTTGGTTTTATGTTCCAACAAACAAGGTGGAAGAACTTGGAAGTTAGTTCCAAGTTTCAAAGAATTCATGCAATGATATGTTTGAAGTTTTGAGGTGCTCCAAATATCATGCATAAGAGACACAATTTGTAGTTTTGGAACTACAAATTGAGAAGCAATTATCAATTTTTATACTTAATGATGCAAGATTGTTGACTTTCGTATAATACCCGAAGGAAGACAAAAATAACGACAAAAAAATACCTCGAATCCCGTCAGATCCATGAATCCCGCTGAATCGGCGCCGCGAACGATCACTTCTCCGCACTTCCTGCGTGAAATCGGCTCTCGATCGCTGCCCCATTCGCGTCGTTAAATACCGACCCAAACGAAGCCTTTCGCTTCTCTCGCACACGACTTCCTGCTCGACTCTTCCTCCCGACCTCCTTCCCTGTCGCAGATCCCGTCTCCCTCCTCCGATCTCCACTGAGCCGCAACCATCTCCGACGCACGCCGGCTTCCTTTCATCCACGTAGAGAGAGAGAGAGAGAGAGAGAGAGAGAGAGAGAGAGAGAGAGAGAGA